AAGGTCCAGAGCCCACGGGGGCAGGATGACACTCGTGGGTCGCGTTCGCGGCGGCACCGTCCGTCCTCCCTGCCCCAGGAGCCCGCTCCTCCCCACCCACGCGTGGCCCCGCCCCATGCACGCCCGTTGGCACAGCCGGGGATTAGCAATGATACCCCCCTCCCACGGGTTTAAGGTGGCGCAGGGTTAAGGTAGAGTAGCTGCCCCCCCCAGGCGAGAGGGGGAGGGGGATCTGCCGCCAGATGTGCGGGGGGGAGGATTCTCTCTGCAGGGACCTCCAGATGTGCGCTGATGGGGGCTGCGCAAGCTGTGGGGGGATGGGAGAGGGGTGAGATACCCCCTACATGTGCCCCCAGATATGGGATGATTGGGGGGTGGCTCCCCCCGTACCCCCAGATGTGGTGGGATAGGGAGGGGCTGGCTACCTTCTACATGTGCCCCAAATGTGAACTGATGGGGGAAGGGCTTCCCCATACGTTGGGGGGTCGGCTCCCCCCCACTTGTCCCCCCTGTAGATGTAGGGAGGCAGTTTCCTTCCACTTGAGCCCAGATGTGAGGAGGAATGTTGGGCCTGCCCCTCAATTGTCCCCAGATGTGCAGTGATGGGGGAGGGGCTACCCCATGTGGGCCCAGATGTGAGGGATGGGGGAGGGGTTGGTTCTCCCCCCCCAGCTGTGGGGCAGTGGGGCTCCAAGCCTGCAGCTGGCTTTGGGAAGTATGGGGGGAGGGAGGGGGGGTTGGCTGTGCCAGAATGCCAGCTAACAGCCTCCATGCCCACTCTACTAGTGTAATGGCTTGAATATGGAACTGGCTTTTGGGCTGGGATTATGGCTAGAAATTCTGTTTGGGCCACCCATCAGAATATCTCTGTGCCACTGGGGGACTGTCCTGGACATCTGTGACCAGACATTTGCCTGGCCCAAAGCGTGGTTTGGCCGTGCCAGGCTGCCAACAGACAGCACCCCAGCCACTGTGCTAAGTATATGGAACTGAATAAGGAACTGGATTTTGAAATCCTTCTTAGGCCACCCCAGATCATGTCTCTGTGCCACAGGTGGACACTTCTGGACCTCTCTGAATAGAGACTTGCCTAGCCCCCAACTGACACCAGCCCCCAAACATTGGGGGGTTGCCAACTGACACCAGCCCCCAAACATTGTTTTAAGTATATGGACTCGAATAAGGAACTGGATATTGGGCTGGGATTATACCCAGAAATCCTTCTTGGGCCACCCCAGACCATGTCTCTATGCCACCAAGGGATGCTTCTGGACATCTCTGAATAGAGACTTGCCCGACCCAAAGCGCAGTATGGCCATGCCAGGCTGCCAAAACACAGCACCCCACCCACTGTGCTAAGTATGTTGACCTGAATAAGGAACTGGAATTTGGGATGGGATAATAGCTAGAAATTCTTCTTGGGACACCCCATGCTATGTTTCTGTGGCACCGAGGGATTCTCCTGGACATCTCTGACCAGAGACTTGCCTGGGCCAAAACACAGTTTTGCCATGCCAGGTTGCCAGCTGTCACCCCCCGACACTGTGCTAAGTATATGGAACTGAATAAGGAACTGGATTTTGGGCTGGGATTATACCCAGAAATCCTTCTTGGGCCACCGCAGACCACACCTCTGCACCACCAGGGGACTCTTCTGGACATCTCTGACCAGAGACTTGCCTGGCCCGAAGCATGGTTTAGCCGTAACAGGCTGCCAACTGACACCACCTCCCAGACACTGTGCTAAATATCTGGACCCGAATAAGGAACTGGAATTTGGACTGGGATTATATCTAGAAATCCTTCTTGGGCCACCCCAGACCATGTCTCTGTGGCACCGGAGGACACTTCTGGACATCTCTGAACAGAGACTTGCCTGGCCCAAAGCATGGTTTGGCCATGCCAGGCCGCCAACAGACAGCACCTCAGCCACCGTGCTAAGTATATGGACCCAAATAAGAAACTGGAATTTGGGCTGGGATTATAGCTACAAACCCTTCTTGGGCCACCCCACACCATGCCTCTGTGGCACCAGGGTACTCTTCTGGATATCTCTGATCAGAGACTTGTCCAGTCCAAAACTCAGTTTAGCCACGCCAGGTTGCCAACTGACACCACCCCCCAAACACTGTGCTAAGTATATGGACCCGAATAAGGAACTGGATTTTGGGCAGGGATTATACCCAGAAATCCTTCTTGGGCCACCCCAGAGCACTGGACATCTCTGAACAGAGACTTGCCTGGCCCAAAGCACAGTTTGGCCATGCCAGGTTGCCAATTGACAGCACCCCAGCCACTTTGCTAAGTATATGGAACTGAATAAAGAACTGGATTTTGGACTGGGATTATCCCCTGAAATCCTTCTTTGGCCACCCCACACCATCCCTCTTTGGACATCTCTGAGCAGAGACTTGCCTGGTTTAAAATGCAGTTTGGCCGTGCCAGGTTGCCAACTGACAGCCCCCCATTCCCACTGTACTAACTGCATAGGTTTGAATAAGGAATTGGCTTTTGAGATGGGATTATAACTAGAAACCCTTTTTGGGCCACTGCATGGCACACCTTTGTGCCACCGGAGGACTCTCCTGGACATCTCTGACTAGATACTTATTCAGTTCCATATACTTAGCACAGTGGTTGGGGTGCTGGCTGTGGTCAGCCTGGCATGGCTAAACCGCACTTTGGGCCAGGCAAGTCCCTGGTCAGAGATGTCCAGGACAGTCCCCCAGGACCACAGAGTCATGTTCTGGGGTGGCCCAAGAAGGATTTCTAGCTATTATCCTATCCCAAATTCCAGTTCTTTATTTGGATCCATATACTTAGCACAGAGGCAAGGGTGCTGTCTTTTGGCAGCCTTGCATGGCCAAACCATGCTTTGGGCCGGACAAGTCTCTGTTCAGAGATGTCCAGCAGAGCCCCCTGTGCCACAGAAGCATGGTGTGAGGGTAACCCGAGAAGGATTTCTGGGTATAATCCCAACACAAAATCCAGTTCCTTATTTGGTTCCAGATACTTAGCACAGTGTCTGGGGGGTGGTGTCAATTGGCAACCTGGTGTGGCCAAACCACGTTTTGGGCCAGGCAAGTTTTTGGTCAGAGATGTCAGGCACAGTCCCCCGGTGCCACAGAGATGCTTTCTGGGGTGGTTTAAGAAGGATTTCTGGGTATAATCCCATCCCAAAATCCAGTTCCTTATTCAGGTCTATATATTTAGCACAGTGGCTGGGAGAGTGGTGTCAGTTGGCAGCCTGGCACGGGCAAACCGTGTTTTGGGATGGGTAAGTCTCTCATCAGAGATGTTCAGGAGCGTTCCCCGGTGGCACAGAGACATGGTCTGGGGTGACCCAAGAGGGATTTCTAGCTATAATCTCAGCCCAAACTCCAGTTCCTTATTCGGGTCCATACATTTAGCACAGTGGCTGGGGTGCTGTCTGTTGGCAGCCTGGCACAGCAAAACCGCACCTTGGGCCAGGCAAATGTCTGGTCACAGATGTCCAGGACAGTCCCCCAGTGGCACAGAGGTATTCTGATGGGTGGCCCAAGCAGAATTTCTAGCCATAATCCCAGCCGGAAAGCCAGTTCCGTATTAAAGCTATTATACTAGTATAGTGGGAACGGGGTCTGTTAGTTGGCAGCCTGGCATGGCCAAACTGTGCTTTGGGCCAGGCAGGACTGTGGTCAGGGTTCTTTAGGACAGTCCCCCATTGGCATCACCATGAAATTTGGGGGGGCCCAAAGAGTATTTTGCCCCATAATCCCATCCTAATCTGACCTTCATTGAGGGCTCTGTACTGGATGTGGGATATTATTTTACATATTAATTAGCATATATGCATAGCTAATGAAATTCTGTCTCTTTACGATGTAGAATTCATTAATAACAAGTTTTTGTTGGGTCTAGATTAGCTTTGAAAAAGGAACCGGGAACCGGGAATAAGGAATAAAGAACTGGGAATAAGGAACCAACTTCAGCCTCATGGAGTGGTGGGTGCATTGGGGGATCTGGGCAGACAGACAGACTGACAGCGCGAAGGACCCGACGGGACGGAGCCGGGGGGAGCGGGGCATGGGCAGGTCCCCGGGCACACAGGGGTTAACGCCCCGGCACCCCACTCCAGGCTGATGCAACCGGCCACGCTGCAGCGTCGCGGGCACGG